CCTCCGGTTCTGTACGTAGACAACAAGGCCATGCTGGCCTTGTGTCAGGAGCACAGACTAGAGCACAGAACGAAGCACATTGCTCTTCGCTACTTCCTTGCTCGTGAGCTGCAGCAGCGTGGTCAGCTGCGTCTTGCTTACGTGGCATCCCAGGCCAACACTGCTGATATCTTCACCAAGGCACTTCAGCCTTGTGATCATCAGCGCTTCTGTACTATGCTAGGTCTTGTGCCTACTTTGCCTCACTTGCTTACCTCTTGACTTTACCTGTACTGTGATCTATATATACCTGCACTTGCTTGTTTACCTTTTATATATCATCCTGCATGTGAACTGGCCTTGTGGCCTTTGAACCTGTGCTCGGAATGTGTGGTGACGTTGTGATCCACCCTGAGCTTGCTTTGTTTTGCTTTGCTTGACTGGTCTTGTGACCCCTTGTTCTCCCCCACTTTGCCTATGGGGGTGTGTCGAACATTAATCACATAGCCTGTTTAGGCTGTAGTGGGGTAGACACTATGGGGTACAGTTTCTTAGGGTTTCATATTTGTACCCAACTCACTTTCTAGTCAATCATTCATTCCTAGATTCTCACAGGTGGTGCTGCTGGAGGTACTGGAGCTACTGGCGGTGCTGGAGCTGCTGAGGGTACTGGAGCTGCTGGAGGTGCTGGAGGTGCTGGAGCTGCTGGAGGTGCTGGAGCTGCTGGAGGTGCTGGAGCTGCTGGGGGTGCTGGAGCTGCTGGAGGTGCTGGAGCTGCTGGTGGGGCTGGTGCTGCTCGTGCTGGTGGCACTGCTCAGCCGCGCCTGTTCTTTGCTCCGCCGTCTCCGTCGTCTCAGCCACCACCTGACTCTGCACTTCGCCAGGTTCTCAGTCTTCCCTCGTCTACTGGTCTTCCGTTACAGCCTGGCTCCCCGCTCCCTGCTCCTTCTCCATACACATAGCAGCCTGGTGGCCTTGCAGAGCGTCGTGAGCCTGCGTCGCGTCCTGTCTCCCCTGTCAGTTCCGGTCGTCGTGTTCCTCGTCAGAGCCAGCCAGCTGTCTCCGGCCCTCCCCTTGTAGTTCGTCGTCCTTCCTCTCCTTCACCGCGTGTGCCTTTGCCGCCTCCCCCTACGTCCTCTCTGCCTGTCGTTGCTGACCCTGCGTCTGACCGGTTTCGTGCTGAGCACTCTACTGTCACGCGTCTGCTTGCCACTGTTGTCACTGACACGTCGTTTGAGTCTGCTGCTGCGTCTGCCTTAGTCACTGAGCTTGTTGCCTTTGCTGCTCACTGTCGTCTAGACTACGCCGCCAGTCTTGTTGCTGAGTCTGCGTCTATCTGTCCTCCGTCCGTCGGGGGTGAGTGTGCTCTTGGCACGGACGTCCTTGAGGACAGGCAGGAGGACCTTGAGTGTCTTGTAGCCGCTGCGCCTCATCTCGTATCCATGCTGCTTGCCCCTGAGGGAGACCCGGATGCACCAGACATCCCTACCCCGCGCTCTTACGCTGAGGCGATCGCGGGTGAGTACTCCTCTCAGTGGCAGACAGCCATGGACGCAGAGATGGCATCCTGGAAGTCCACAGGCACCTACGTCGACGAGGTTCCCCCGCCTGGGGCGAACATTGTCAGTGGCATGTGGATTTTCAGGGTGAAGCGGCCGCCAGGTTCTCCACCTGTCTTCAAGGCTCGTTACGTGGCTCGAGGCTTCAGTCAGCGAGAGGGAGTTGACTTCTTCCAGACCTTCTTCCCCACCCCGAAGATGACAACTCTTCGGGTGCTGCTGCACGTTGCCGCTCAGCGTGACTACGAGCTTCACTCTCTTGAATTCAGCACAGCATTCTTACAGGGCAGCCTGCACGAGGAGATCTGGCTGCGCCGCCCTCCTGGCTTCACTGGGTTGTTCCCTCCTGGTACCCAGTGGAGCCTCCGGCAGCCGGTCTACGGTCTCCGCCAGGCGCCACGTGAGTGGCACGACACACTGAGGACGACACTTGCGACTCTTGGGTTTGCTCCGTCGACTGCTGACCCGTCGCTGTTTTTGCGCACCGACACTTCGTTGCCGCCGTTCTACGTTCTCGTGTACGTCGACGACTTGGTCTTTGCCACTGCTGACACTGAGGCTCTCGCCCTGGTGAAGTCGGAGCTGCAGAAGAGACACACGTGCACAGACCTGGGTGAATTGCGCAGCTACCTTGGCTTGCAGATCACCCGGGACAGAGCACGCCACACCATCACACTGACTCAGTCACACATGGTGCAGCAGGTCCTTCAGCGCTTCGGTTTCACCTGGTCCTCAGCACAGGCCACTCCTCTGGCTACAGGTCACTCGCTCTCAGCTCCACCTTCGGACGAGTTCGTAGAGCCGAGTGGTCCTTACCCAGAGTTAGTGGGCTGCCTCATGTACCTGATGACTTGCACTCGTCCTGACCTTGCGTACCCTCTTGGCCTGCTGGCTCACCTACCTGCTGACCGACTTGGGAGAGCGGCCTCGTTCTCCTCCAGTTCTGTACGTCGACAACAAGGCCGCCATTGCCTTGTGTCAGGAGCACAGACTGGAGCACAGAACAAAGCACATCGCTCTCCATCACTTTCTTGCTCGAGAGCTGCAACAGCGTGGCCAGCTTCGTCTTACCTACGTGGCCAGTCGGGCCAACACTGCTGATATATTCACCAAGGCACTTCCGCCTGGTGATCATCAGCGTTTCTGCACTTTGTTAGGCCTTGTGCCCACGCTTCCTCACTTGCTGTAGGCTTTGTTTGTACCATGATTTATATGTATTCCTGCATGTTTGTTCTTGTAGGTAGATATCACTGTACTGTTGTTGTTACATATATATCTCTACATACGAACTGGCCTTGTGGCCTTCTTGCTTGTGCTCAGACTGCGTGGTGACGTTGTGATCCACCCTGAGCTTGCTTTGCACTTCCTGACTGGTCTTGTGACCCTCTGTTCTCCCCCACTCTGCCTATGGGGGTGTGTTAAACATATGTATATATATGTTATAGTTTGGGTAGGCTTAGTGGGGTACACGCTGTGGGGTACAACCCCTTAGGTTTCTTCTTTGTACCAACCCTCTCGATAGTCGATATCACTTTTTGCCTACGATTCTAACAAATTATTCCAATGAGCTACAAGGTTTTATATTATTACAAGGAATACGAAGGGTTTAACTGTAACTGCTGTTGCGGTTCGATACAACGACGACTCGTGTAACTGCTCAATAGCGACTCAGTTATTTGTCCTTGCTGTCGCGCTGCCTTTGTCAAGTCAAAGGTCGCTGACCTTTGACCTTCGCTTCAACCTCCTGCTGTTGTCGCCTTGTCAACCGCTTTGGTTGACTCTCGGTGTTGCTTCGCTGTAAATATGCGTCTCTTTTGTTATAGTGCTCGATACTTTAGAAGCGTAAACTAAATGTTTCCAACAACTCTAACATTTGCTCCCAAAATCGACACTGATGCACATGCACCTGCAATCCCACCCAATCCAACCGCTCCGTCCACTTCATGTTATATCCACTGTGAAGACTGTGAAGACTTTCACTATCTAAAAAATATTTACGATAATTGTTAGTCCTTGATGCGATCACAAAGCATCAACAAATTGCCATTTAATAAGTTTATGTCCTCCTATTATAATGCTTCAATCCCTGTGCTTGCACAACAGCTTCTGTTTGAACCATGCTTGGTACTTGACTCAAGTTATGTTTGGCACGTTCCCTACATCTTGTTGATATACCTTGTTGTACTATTCATTGTGTGTTTCAGTACACTTCTGTAAACTAGTAATTATTGACGGGTAATATTGTCAATGACCTTCCACGAAGCTGAAGTCGCTGCTTCTCGAGGGCAAGTTCAGGCCTGGGCTTGGTGGCGGGAACTCTGGTTTGGATGAAACCATCTGGTTCGGCAGCAATTGCCACTGACACAAAATGAGGCGAAGCAACTTTCATCCACAAAGCCGTTTCGCCACGATGCGGCTCGGACGGACAGGCACAGAAAATCCGCTTCACGCCGTCGCACCAACATCGTACGGCATCGCTAACGCGTTTTCTCGTAGGAAATCGAGGCTGATGGCGACTCAAAGGACGGGGCAGACACTGCGCACACGTTACTGTACCCGCAGCCCCTCGGGGAAGCCGTGCCCCTGCAGCTTTTCGCCACTCTCCGCGTTTTCCACGTCATGTCCCCCTTCACCCTATTGACCAAGTCGCAATCAGGCAACACTTGGTACTCTCTCACTGGCCAATTCTATATCAGAGCTGAACCCGAAGCACTCTCAGAAGGCACCTCCCAAAGTCTGAACTCTGTTCAACCTGCTTTCAGTCGCCTGCCCGAACCAAAACCACGCTCGCTCCTCCTTTCCCCCATTGAATAAACCACCCTTGCGTCTGCCCGTTTCCTTCCAGTCAGCCCGTGCGGTTCCATTTTTCGTCCGTCAAGCAGGCAAATTTTGATCAAATAGAAGCGACAAGTGGGGAGGGACTCTACAGAACTTGAGGACCCCCGAAACGAGACTCAGGACTCGAGCTTCCCGAAGGACACGTTACATATTTCAGTACGCAGGGGTGGGTGGTGTTGAGGCGTTGACATAGACCGTGCACTTTTACAGTAGCAGCAGTAAGGAGTGCTGTATTTGCAGCAACCACCCTACACCAAACAAGCAGAGTACATATAACAAAGTCATAACAAAGTCAAGAAGAGAGCACATCACGGAGCAGCCAGAAGGATAAAGCAGATTAGAGAGGCTGAGCAGAGGGAAGAAGAGCTGAGCTAGCACAGGGCTTTTAGCAGCGGCCGTTTCCTGTACTTTCGATCCGTCTCACTTAGATGGCTCCATCATCCACGCACATCATCATGCGTTGATATATTTTTTTCCCTCCTCGATAGACGACTCTGTTTCTGGTGGTTAGACGTCTGACTCTCTTAAATATCATTTAGCGATTTGCGAGGAACTCTGTGCTTTGCATCACGGATTGCAGGATCTTGGGTGGGAGTTCCTTAGCTCGTGCCTCTGCTACTGAAGATGGTGGGCGAGACTATGGATACCGACCAAGACGACTACGAGGACGTTCACGAGAACGTTTTCGAAATTCCGAACAAGGAGCCGGAACCCGAGGCGTTGTTAAAATGGAGAGTAAGTTACCCCGTTTTACCAAGTGCATGAATCAGCCAGACACATAACAGTCAGGCGTACGGTTTCCGTTGTCGATTCCCTACCCCTACCACGTACGAGTGATGCCGTTTATATCGACCACCTAATACAGCGAGACAGCAGACCCTATTGTTTTTTCCGACAGTGGTCATTTCGTTCGCAATGTGTGTCTCGTGGAATTTTCACCCCACGTAGGCCTCAGTTAATAACCTTCTAGGCCAGTAGACAATCTTGTAGTATTTTTGGTGTTATTCTTTTACGTCTTTCGGTTTTCAGACCATTATGAGACGTCGCATTTTCTTGTTTCATGCTTTTAGGGTTAAGCGAACCATGGATGTTGCTAGGCATCACATGTCGTTGCGATTCACTGGTGTCGCATCGCTAGAATAGGCGTTTCCTACCCGTCGTGCCCGTGATCCCCGTCACGCCGATTTCCGTCTTTTACTCTTCATCCCGTTATAAGCAAGTGTTTGCGCGTACTTTCTTTATGCAAATTGTTCCCACCTTTCTCTCTGCTCTCATCCTGTGTACCTTCCATGATCACCGCACACACCCTCTCACGCTTCCCTCTCTTTGCGTCCGACAGCAAGCGACGCTCGTGCTCAACGCTACGAGACGGTTCCGTTACACGGCCAAGCTCAACATCGACGACAAAGTCCCCGTTAAAAGAACGCCCGCGGAGCGGTTCCGGACGAGCGGCCACGCGCTGGTGGTGAGTGTAACGGGTCCCAGCGAGCTCCTCTCTGAGCTCCTCTCAGAGGTTGCAGATAAGTACTTTTATTTCCGCTGTACCTGAGGTTCCTTTTAAGGGGACTCAGGAACGACCTCGTACAAATGGTACTGGGGTTTACGACGAGGGAGATGCACTTTGCGGTGCTGATTGGGAGGGGTAGTCACGGCACGGAAACTCAAAGTTAAGCTGTTAGTAGCCAATGTTGGAAAATTCGCGAGGGTTAAGAGCTTAGCGTGTTTGCGACGCTTGATTGGTTGGTTGCATGCTGTAGCATGGGGAAACGCGGTAACGGTACTTCTAGTTGCGCGGCTGAGGAAGGCGAGCAATGCGCGGTTGTTAGTTGGCGTTTCCGTAACAGCAATGCTACGAATGGGCTGCAACGGTTGGTCGGACACACGTAGAGCAGATCGATCGCAGGTCGGTGTGGACGGGGCTCCATGGCGCGGGTAGCCGTGTGATGCGTATCTTAAACGTGGCGTCACTGGGAGTAAGTAGGTAATTGTTTCCTCCGCGGGGAGCTGGCAGTTAATTCCTCCGGAGAGCTGGTAGTTATTTTCCAGGAGAGCTGGTAGTTATTTCCTCTTCGGAGACTGGTTCCGCGGAGAGCTGGTAGTTCCGCGGGGAGCTGGTAGTTCCGCGGGGAGCTAGTAGTTCCGCGGGGAGTTGGTAGTTCCGCGGAGAGCTGGTGGTTATTTGCTCCGTGGACAGCTGCTTTTTGTCACTCAAAGTTTTGAAAGATCATCATCTGACTGGGGCTTCCCCGCCGACTCCCTTACCGTACTTGCTGCTGGTGTGCAGGCTTTGAACAGGTTCAAGAAGGCTGGGCAGCAGAGACAAAAGCGATATGTTATGAAGGGTGAGCAATTCACAGCCTTTGATGCACATCTTGCAGCGTGTGCTCCGTAGCTTGCAGCGAGTAGTGAGTGGCTTGCAGAGAATGGTGAGTGGATTGCAGCTACCGCACTAGGCTTAAAACCCCTCGTTCTCGTTCGCGTGCTTGAAGCCTTGTGTTGTATTTGCGAGTCCACATGACAGCGTTTCTTAGAGTGACGTGTGTGGACAGTGGAGCTGAGATTTGTGCTTTCAAGGGCTGGATAGTGCGTAGTAATAGTAGTTGTTGTTCTGTGCTTCCTTGTGCTCCTTGCTGGCTGTCCGAGTTCTTCCGGAAGTCCTCAGACGGCCTCAATTCTTGGTGTGTGCGCGCGCGCGCACGCGCGTGTGTGCGTGCGTGTGTGTTTTTGTGTGTGTGTGTGTGTGTGTGTGTGTGTGCGCGCGCGTATTTGTGTGTGTGTGTGTTTTCACAGAGGATTTTGGTGACGGTTTTGGCTTCTCAAAAGAGCAACTTGTCACAATAAACGAGGACGCTAATGTCGAGGCGCTGGATGACATTGGGGGGGTAAGTGGAAAGTACAGGTTTGTTCATTCCGTTTTTTGGGGAATGCTAAGGATTGTACTTTGTTGGGCAGATGAAGCGTGTGTGCCTGTGTGTGTACGTGAGAAAGAACGAGATAAATAATGTCTGGAGATGGAAGGAGATACACAGTCTCCAAGGCACATGCCGCTCGCATAAACGCTCACTCACATAGATGCTCACATACCATACTTGTTCTTGCACCCCATGTCATGCTGCATGATGTGGAATTTGGGGTATTTTCCGCTGACAACAGGTAGCCATTGTTTGGGACGAAACGAAACATCATGCCACTCTCAAACTTGATCCACGGAGCCGAGTTTGCTGTGTTTTACGACACATTCAACGAAAGCAGTGCAGTTCTGTCCTTGTACCCCCCCTTATCATGCTCTCTCCTCCACCACACGCCCTCTTGTCCCCAGGTGCCTGCCGTGTGCCGTGCTCTGCGCGTCGATCCAGAGATTGGGATTCCAGGGGACGAAGAAGACATGGAGAAGAGGAAGGAGGAGTTTGGCACCAACACTTACCCCGCGAAACCCCAGAAGTCATTCTTTGTAAGAGAGCTCCTTGTCGCTCTGTAAAGCATCCTTGTTAAAACATCCTCGCAATGTCCCTTTGTAAGCAACCCTTCTTGCTTGTCTCTTACGCACATGTGCACTTCCCACACAAACCACTTCCCCCTCCCGCACCTCTTCCCCCCCTCTCTCTCTGCAGGTGTTTGTGTGGGAAGCAGCGCAAGACACCACGCTCATCATCCTCATGTTCTGTGCTTTCCTTTCACTCACCTTTGGACTTATTGCAGAGGTATGCTCGCTTCCCTTTCCCGTTCCCCCACCTCTGTGCTCCCTCAGATCTTTTATTTTCCCTGTAGCGCTCCTTCCCAGTGTGGTTCACCCGCACCCCCCTTGTCATGCCTTCCATCTACTCCACTCCACACCACTCAAACAGCACTTACATTCTCTCCTGTTTGAAGCCTGTGCCTGTTCCGCTGCATGATGTTTACATGACCGGATTGGTGCTTGCGACTTGTACGGAACCAGCTTTCCTGTGTACACTGACATGACACGTTGCGGCTTGCTGTTGAAATCGTTTGTGCCACGTGGAACACGGTGCACAGGGCACACAGGAAGGGTGGTACGACGGAGTGGCCATTGGTATTGCCGTCATCCTGGTCATCTTCGTCACAGGTACGCATGCACTCTCGTGCTTCGCTTTCCTGGCTTCTCTTCTTCTCTTCGCCTTTGTGTGTGTGTGTGTGTGTAAGTAATGCCCTCTCGCTCCCCGGCTTCTCACTCACCCTCTCATGTTCTGCGCCTCTCCTGTGCACTTTCACTGTGTGACGTCACCACCAGCCTTCAGCGATTACCGCCAGTCGTTGCAATTTCGTGGCTTGGATGCTGAGAAGGCGAATATACAGCTCAAGGTGAGAAGCACATCTGCATCATGAACCCCACCCCAGCGCGTTCCTCCACCGCAGCTTGTAATTAGCTTTTCCCGCACGCACCACTGCATTGAGTACCTCTGCTTTCCCAGGAGTACCTCCCCCAGCTCCTTGCTCCCTCTCTGCACCTTGCTCCCTCTCTGTACCTGCAAATTGAATCCACGTCAACCATACAATGCATGCGTGTTCTGCGCCGCTCCACCCGCCTTTTCTTCTCTCTCCTCTCCGACCAGGTGTTAAGAGGCGGCCGTGTGCAGACAGTGTCCATCTTCACCCTCGTGGTGGGCGACGTGGTGCCTCTTGCCATCGGCGACCAGGTGGGCAGCATGGAATAGCCCTGTCACCGGGAGCTTGGCTTGGTTCCAACTTCCATGTGGTTTTGAGACGTCTCAGAAAATGCAAACCACACGCACGTTCTTCCCATGTTCTCCTCTTCGCACTTGCATGTAGCTTAGCTTGTGTAGCGACGACTACAAGAGAACCTCCCTTCGAGCCGTAGGTTTGTCTCAACTGCCTGCACCGCTTGGCTGCTCTCCCCGTGTATCGTTTTCTTTTGCAAGCCGCCTATTGCATTTTTCCTGTCGCGGTCTTACGATGCCGGTTCGCCTATTGTTTTTTTTCTGCTGCGGTCCCACAGGTGCCTGGAGATGGTCTGTTGGTGTCTGGCCATTCTCTCACCATTGACGAAGCTTCCATGACAGGAGAGAGCGACCCTGTGAGTTCTGCTCTTCTTCTCTTCTCCTCCTCCCGCACCCCCTGTTGTAGTATGGTGCCTTCGAGTTAGGGCCATCTCTCGCCTCTACCCTGTACTCCTCTCCTCTTTCCCCTCTCTTCCCCCTCCCCCCTCCCCCTCTCGCCCCCCCTCTCTTCCCCCTCCCCCCCACGCTCCCCCTCGTCGGCCTCTCCTCCCCGGCCCCTTGTTGTCTCTCTTTGTTCCCCTTCCCCAGCCATCCTCTCCATCCCGTTGTAATGCAGCTTGTTCTTTCTCTGCCTTGTGTACCTGGTGGATCTCTCACACACTCCTCCTCCGCCCTTGCTGTTCTGCTCTGCTGATCCTTGTCATGTGGTGCATGTTGTGCTGTGATGTGCTTTGCTCTGTGGTGCCATGCCATTCTGATGCTGTTGCTGCTGCGGCTGCTGCTGCTGCTGCTGCTGCTGCTGCTGCTGCTGCTGCTGCTGCTGCTGCTGCTGCTGCTGCTGCTGCTGCTGCTGCTGCTGCTGCTGCTGCTGCTGCTGCTGCTGCTGCTGCTGCTGCTGCTGCTGCTGCTGCTGCTGCTGCTGCTGCTGCTGCTGCTGCTGCTGCTGCTGCTGCTGCTGCTGCTGTGTTGAGCAGATGCACAAGGACAGCAAGCGCCCATACCTGCTTTCCGGATGCAAAGTTCTCGATGGTTACGGCAACATGGTGGTGAGTTGGTGCTGTGCGTGAGTCATTTCATTTCAAAAGGCACGTTGGCGGAATTATCCCCAGCACGCTTTCCCCCCTCCCTCTCAAACCACTCTCCCGTCCTCACCTTTCTTCTCGTCGTCCTTCTCCCCCTTCTCCCCCATCTCGCCCCTCTCTCACCCCCTTCTCCCCCTCGCCCCTTCTGCTCCCGTCTCTCGCCTGCTCGCGCCCCTCAGGTCACGGCAGTGGGAGGGTGCACGGAGTGGGGGCGAGTCATGGCCACAATCAACGATGACGACGACTCTGAGACGCCTCTGCAGGTGTGGTGCCTCCCTCTCTCTCTGCCCTTATGTGTCACTACCCCTTACCTAATATCCCCTCCTCCACTCTCCATGCTCCCTTCTCCTTCACACACCATCGCCCGCCACCCACCCACCATGCCCGTCATCCTTCCACCTACCTGCCCCCCTGCACCCTTCCCTTTGCCGATGCTTACATGGCCTTCCCTTCTATCCAGGCTGATACTCTGTCTCCCCACCTCTGCAATCCCTGCATGTATGAGCCTCCTCCTCCTCCTCCTCCTCCTCCTCCTCCTCCTCCTCCTCCTCCTCCTCCTCCTCCTCCTCCTCCTCCTCCTCCTCCTCCTCCTCCTCCTCCTCCTCCTCCTCCCCCTCCTCCCCCTCCCCCTCCTCCCCCTCCTCCTCCTCCTCCTCCTCCTCCCCCTCCTCCCCCTCCCCCTCCTCCCCCTCCTCCTCATCATCATCACAGGTGCGGCTGAACGGGCTGGCGACGTCTATTGGCAAGCTGGGGCTGGTGGTGGCTGTGATGGTGTTCCTAGTGCTCATCATCCGCTATGCCGTCACGTACGTGCCGGGCAAGTCGCCAGTGGAGGTCTTCAAGGACATTGTCGACGACTTCTCCATCGCGGTGAGTAACCGTGATGATTGAGGTTGAGGTGCGCGTCACATGTCGCTGTTTGAGGTTGAGGTGCGCGTCACATGTCGCTGTTTGAGGTTGAGGTGCGTGTCACATGTCGCTGTTTTTTAGGTGCGCGTCACATGTCGCTGTTTGAGGTTGAGGTGCGCGTCACATGTCGCTGTTTGAGGTTGAGGTGCGCGTCACATGTCGCTGTTTGAGGTTGAGGTGTCGTCACATGTCGATGTTTGAGGCTGAGGTGCGCCTCACAAGTCGCCCGTGGAGGTGTTCAAGGACATTGTCGACGACTTCTCCATTGCCGTGAGCCTTCTGCTCAAGCCCGACTAGAATCTGTAGGAATGATGTCAGAAGAAGAGTGATTGGCAAGGCTAAGTCACCCTGGGAGGAGAGGTGTTCAAGGACATTTTTTACGACTTCTCCATTGCCGAGAGTGTCAAGACGATGAGTTTTTAGGCGATTTTTGAGTTGGTTTGAAAGTCACCCCGCTACGCTGTCACGTGCACCGTTACGCGCTGGGCAAGTCACCCTGGGAGGTCTTCAAGGACATTGTCGGCGACTTCTCCATTGTTGTGAGTCACGGCAAGTTTCCAACGCGCAGCCAACGCGTGGCAAGGCGGAGCTATCACGCGCTGAGCTGACCTCTCTTTGCATGGCCCCTTCTTTCTTCCTAGAGGGTTCTGTTGTGCCGGTTGTGTGCGATCTGCTGTTGTGTGGTTGTGGTTTTATGCGGACCTTGCTGACGTGTTCAAGGTTTGTTCTGCATGAACGTGTCACATGTGCATGCATGCCTGTGTGGGAATGGATGGATTCACTTGATGTGGATGTGTGTGTGCCGGCCTATGTGTGTGTGTGTGTCTTGGTGTGTGTATGTTTGTGCATTGGTGTTTGTCCAGGTGACCATTATTGTGGTCGCTGTACCAGAAGGCCTTCCTCTCGCAGTTACTTTAACGTGAGTCTTCAACATGCCCTCTCACTCTTCCGCTTCCACCCCTCGCCCACTCCCACCCACCCCCACTCCCACCCCCACTCCCACTCCCACTCCCACTCCCATCCCCTCTCACACTTCCACACCCTTCCCTATTCACCTCTGTGTGTCCGTCCATGTCGCCCCCTTACCCTACGCCACTGATGCAAGCACTGTGAACTTCCTTCCCTGCTAGCCGCGCCCACTCATTCCTCCCCGCAGTCGCCCCTGCACGTGCAATGGCCCACTAACATCTGGGGTTGTCTCTGTCTCTGTCTCTGTCTCGTCCCCCTTCCCTTGTCCCCCTGGTTCAGGCTCGCGTATTCAATGCACAAGATGATGAACGATAAAGCGCTGGTAAGACCACCAGAACCATCTATTCTTCCTATCATTTTATCGTCACAAATTATTTCAATCTGTGTGCCGACGCTCCTCTCCTTCCTTGCACCCTCTCCTGTTAGCATCAAGTGTTAGCGCCTCCCCCATGCCAACCTTCTCAATTCTCACCCACCTTCTCGACACACCAGCCTAGGGAAGATTTTGTTCCCTATCGCCCTTCACCTCATTTTCCAAAAAAAACCCTCTGTTTCCCTCCTCCCTCTGTCTGCCCCCCCTCGTTCTCTCACCCTCTCTCTTGCGCTCTTTCTTCCCTCCCTCCGTATCCCCTAATTCTACTTGTGCACCTTGCTCTCAGGTGCGGCACTTGGCAGCGTGTGAGACCATGGGTTCAGCCACCACCATCTGCAGTGACAAGACCGGCACTCTCACTCTCAACCAGGTGTGACTCAGCATCACCGTTCTGCAATGCTCTCAACGCCTCAGCATTGTCGCGGTTGACTGATGTTGATTCTCTCCTCATTAAATGCTTCTTAATCTAACGCTATGCTCCTCTAACTTCTAAACTCCTTGCCCCTCACTCCATTTGTCATGGTGGAATGGAATGCAGATGACAGCAACGCGCGCGTGGCACTCTGGCAGCCTGCAGGAGTCAGTGGATCGAGAAACCGTTCCAACCCCAGTTATCAAGGTGGGTGGGCTGCTGCTGTACCTGTTGCTGTTCTGCTTAACCCCTTCCTTCCTCCTCCCCGCCCTTCTTCCCCCTCACCTCGCCCCTTTCCTTACCCCCTGCTTTTCTCCCTCCTTCCCCTGCATGCTTCTCCTGTTTTTTTTTTTTTTTTTTTTTTTTTTCCAGTTGCGAGCGCTACACCTTGTTTTGCAATTGACATCTGTGCATTTCTCCACAACACTCCCCTTATCTCTCTGCCATCCATCCCACAGGTGCTATCTGAAGCCATCGCCCTCAACAGCACTGGCAATGTCTTTAACCCGCCGGTACGCCCGTCCTCGTCTTCTACTCTCTCCTTTTGTGCTACTCTCTCCTTTTGTGCAAGGGACGTTATAAGTTGACTTCAATGAGGAAGAGCATAAACCGTCCTGCCTGTATGCCGTCCTGTACTCACTACAATCGTGCCGTTCACTCCCTCCAATTGTGCCTTTTCTTTGGGTAGCTCCAACCTGTACATCCCAAGTATGCCATGCCATACCGTGCGTGCATCACCCTGGGCTGCTGCAGCTGTAGCCCGTTGCAAGGTCGACTTGCACATGTCTCGTCTGTGGTGCTTCGAGTGCCAAGGCCACGCATTTGACTTCTCAAAATTCACTCATGCTGCCCTCTGTCTGCTCTGCCCGTGCTATGTTCGCCTCTGCCTCTGTTTTCAGGAGGGAGGGCCGCCGGAGGTGTCTGGGAGCCCAACTGAGGCTGCTATTATCACATGGGCGCTCTCTGTAAGCCATTTTCAGCTAGGCGCTGTCTGTAAGCCACTTACATGTTTGAGGCTTGTTGTTATCAGTCTTCCGTGTGTGTTCACTCACTGAGAGCACTGTTTTGAATCAATGCTGCATGTGCCTTCGCTCAGTGAGAGCACTTTAGCATGGCAACAACCCTTAGCACTTGCGAGAGAGAGGACTGGGATGGGATGAACGAGCAAGGGCTTAGCCTTTGGTGCTTGTATCCAGCGCTTCTGGCAAGCAAAGCTGCGCCTCTGCGTGCCCCCTCTCATGGAAAACCTTAAATCCCCTTTCTTCCTCTCTCTGATGCATGTTGCATAATGCATGGTGCATGGTGCATGATGCATGGTGCATGGTGCATGATGCATGGTGCATGGTGCATGGCACATGGCACATGGTGCATGGCAGTTGGGCATGGACTACAATGGGCTGAGGAAGGAGAACGAGATCATAGCAGTGGAGGCCTTCAACTCCGCCAAGAAGCGAGCAGGGGTGGCCATCAAGGTCAGGAGTGGTGCTGTGCGGTGCTGCACTGTGCGGTGCTATTTGGCAGGCATACGAGGTGTTTGTATGGGGGATCAGCTCACCATGGTTGGGGTCAACTTGTCATAACTGCAGTCGAGTTGTCCTTATCACCCGTTGGCTGGCCTATGCCAACCATTCCGAACTCCTCTCGCCCCGTTGGGGGCAACTTGGCTTAACTGCTTCTTCTCCGCAGCTCTTTCCCCATCGTGTACCTTTTCTCACCTTTCCTCCTAGTTAGCTCACGAGGTAGGGTTGCATCCATGCGTGTGCGTGCCTGTTCCTGTGCGTGTGCCTGTGCTGTCCTGTCCGTACAGAGGCCGGGAGGGGACGTGGTAGTGCACTGGAAGGGAGCAGCGGAGATCATTCTTTCTGGCTGCACCACATGGCTCGATGCTGACGGCAACCCTTCCCCTCTCACTGATGCCAAGGTACCATACCTCTCTCTTCTCCGCTCGCTCTTCTGCTCTGCCCATACCCTTCCCTCCCCATAACGCCCCTCCTTGCTCTCTCCCTGCTCCGCACCGCACCTCCCCTCATCCGTCCCGGCCACCACCCCTTTCATTCTCTCCTCCCCACTCCCCACTCCCCCTTCCTCTCCCCTTCCTCCATGCTTCTCCCTGGCGCCCATTCCCAGAGGGCGGAGGTGCTGGATGCCAAATCCACCATGGTAGCAGGGTCGCTGCGCTGCATCGATTCGCGAGACGTCTCAGAAATCCGTCAACCCTTTGCCCGTGTTTCTCCCTCCCAACGCCCTGTGTCTGGTCCAGAGAACGGAGGTGCTGGATGCCATATCCACCATGGCAGCAGGGTCGCTGCGCTGCATCGCCATGGCCACTGCACCCCTGCCTCTCTCCGACGTGCCTGCAGAGTCAGAGGGATGGAAATTCCCTGACGGCTGCCTCACGCTCATTAGCATCGTGGGCATCAAGGTGCGGTGTGGGTGTGGTGTGGGAGTGATCGTGCGGATGTGGCATTGTGCACATCAAGGCACATTGTGTTGTGTGAGCACGCGTGTATGTGCCTCACCACCGTCATTGAGAGTGTATCGCCTGTGCGGTTGCGTGACGGGTGTCTTTTTGGGAGGGGGTTTTCCCTGGTCGTTCTGGGGGTGTGGGGGTTGCTTTATTAGGTTGTTGCTGTATCTTGGGGTGTTACTGTTTTATCGGATCTGCCACTTCTGCTGCCCTGTTCCCTTCGAGGCTCAGTATTTCTTATTTCTTGTTGCTTTCTGCCTGATGCATGCTGTTTCCTGTGCTGATACGTGGTTGCTGATGTGTATGGCATGTGTGATGTGTGGGGGGGAGGGGAGGGATGAATGAACATCCACGAACCAATTGCTTTTTAACATGCATGTCTGTGCATGTGTGTCTGCTGTGGGCGTGTCCATCCATGTGTGCATGTGCTTGTGTGTGTGTGCATGTGTGTGTGCGCATGTGTGTGTGTGCATGCATGTCTGTGCACGCATGTCGGTGCGTGCCATGCATTGCAGGATCCGTGCCGACCAGGAGTCCCAGACGCAGTAGCCAGATGCCAGAGTGCTGGAGTGAAGGTAGGGTAACAGTCACACGTCACACCACGTCTCCTTTCAACCTTGCTCTCCCAGTCTCTTTGAACCATACTTGATTTCACTCGCCGCGTACCTCCGAGGTTCCGGCGCACCATACACCATCTATCAACGAGTCCATCGTTATTCTATTTTTTTCTGTGAGGATTTACATGCTTTGCTCCTGTCCGCTCCCCTGCTTGCCGCACAAACACTCACGCTTCGCTCGTAAATAACCCCCCACCACAACCCCCCTCCACCCCCCTTCTTTTTTTTCTTCCCTTTCCCCCTCCCTCTCCCCCAACAACCCCAATCTCACCCTCATCCATGTGTGTGTGTGTGTTCAGGTGCGCATGGTGACTGGCGACAACGTGCACACAGCGAGGGCTATAGCGGCAGAGTGCGGCATCATCACACCTGATGGGGTGGTGATAGAGGGCAAGGACTTCCGGGTCATGTCCAAGGAGCAGATGATTCAAGTCATTCCCACCATCGATGTGAGTGCCCCTGCTGCCACCGCTGCTGCTGCTGCTGCTGCTGCCGCTGCTGCTGCTGCTGCTGCTGCCGCTGCTGCTGCTGCTGCTGCTGCTGCTGCTGCTGCTGCTGCTGCTGCTGCTGCTGCTGCTGCTGCTGCTGCTGCTGCTGCTGCTGCTGCTGCTGCTGCTGCTGCTGCTGCTGCTGCTGCTGCTGCTGCTGCTGCTGCTGCTGCTGCTGCTGCTGCTGCTGCTGCTGCTGCTGCTGCTGCTGCTGCTGCTGCTGCTGCTGCTGCTGCTGCTGCTGCGGCTGCTGCTTCTTTCCCCGTTTGGTGCTGTATGGTAGGTCAAGGACTTCATAAATGACTGCCGTGACCATGCATCCCATGGGAGGTACTTCATCTCTTCCTCACACTCCCATGCACATTCACTCACGCCCATTCCTCCTCATCAGGTGATGGCGCGTTCATCCCCCGCGTACAGGCCCCTGCTGGTGCTTTAGAGGGTTATGAGTATCACTAACCCATTCCTGCTGGCTGTGGCTGTGTTTCCCCTCCCCACACCCCCTCCTCTTCTCCAGGTGATGGCGCGGTCGTCCCCCACAGACAAGCACCTGCTGGTGAAGATGCTGCGGCAGATGGGCGAGGTGGTGGCAGTCACAGGCGACGGCACCAACGATGCGCCTGCGCTGCATGAGGCGGACATTGGGCTGTCCATGGGGCTCTCGGGCACGGAGGTGGCCAAAGAGAGCTCCGATATCGTCATTCTGGACGACAATTTCACTTCCATTGTCAAGGTAAACCACGCACACTGCTTCTGAGGCGCCTCATAACTTGCGTTGCATAAGTGAGGCGGGGGCATTGGGCTCTCCATGGGGATGTTGGGCACAGAGGCGGCTAAAGAGAGCCCCGACATTGTCATTCTGGTCTGGATGACAACTTCACCTTCATTGTCATTCTGGTCTGGATGACAACTTCACCTTCATTGTCATTCTGGTCTGGATGACAACTTCACCTTCATTGTCATTCTGGTCTGGATGACAACTTCACCTTCATTGTCAAGGTAAACCACACAAACACAGCTGGCCTGGTGCTTTTCAGTTTCCCGATGAGACGGACATGAGAGATTTCTCGAGTAGCTGCTCTGCAGTAGCATGGTTGTGGGACGTATTTAACTAGTGTGACCTTGTTTTTGAGTCAGATGGGCTGAGCTTGTAGCAGGCCTGCCGTTTCTTCATCCTCTTCTTCCTGCCCCTCTCTCTCACTCCAGGTTACTGCGTCGATCTCCAATCCCCACCTCCTCTCTGCACCTCATTTCATGGTTCCTCTCCCGCCCTGTGTTTATTAAACCCCTCTCCATCCTTTGTCAAACCCTTCATTCTCCTTCTCTGTGTGTGTGTGCTGCAGGTGGTGCGGTGGGGGCGGTCAGTGTTTGCCAATATCCAGAAGTTTATCCAGTTCCAGCTCACAGTCAACATAGCAGCGCTGGTCATCAACTTCATCTCTGCCTGCACTGACGGACACGTGCCTCTCAACGCTGTTCAGGTGGGTCCTCCTCCTCCTCCTCCCCCTCCTCCTCCTCCACCCACCCACCCACTCACTCACGCATCCACCGAATTTCCCCATTTTCCACCCTCCACCCTCTTCCTCTCTATCCCCCATCTACCCACCTCCCTCCCCCTCCCCCTCCTGTTCACCCACTCATTCTGCCTCCCCAACCGCTGTGCTGTTCATCATCCTTATTTTCATCCTCCACCTGTGCCGTTGCTGTAAGTCGATCATGCTATGGTGACTCAACCTCTGCCTTCTCCGCTTTTTCTCCCCAGCAGTCCTTTCTGCTCTCCCCTGTCTCCATTTCACCCGTCCCCCACTCCCCTCCCTCTCTTATGCCTCTCTCACATTCCCCAACCCATTCCCCGTCCTCCTATTCCCTCCTCCCGTCCCGTCCCCCCCGCCCCCTTCTTCCCCCATCCCCCAACTTCCCCCCTTCTCCGCCCTCTCCTCCCCCATGACAGTTGCTGTGGGTGAATCTGATCATGGACACGCTGGGAGCGCTGGCCCTCGCCACAGAGCCGCCCGTTGAGGCGCCCCTGAAGTCCATTCTTCCTCCTTTCCCCCCTCCCCCGCGCCCTCCCCCTCCCACTTCCACTCCGCCCATCCCCCATGACAGTTGCTGTGGGTGAACCTCATCATGGACACGCTGGGAGCGCTGGCCCTCGCCACAGAGCCCCCTTTTCGAGGCGTCTCAAAGGTCCCCTTTCCGTTTCCCCCGCTCCCGCGCCCCAACCCCCCCTCCATATCCGCCTCACCTCCCTTGTCTGGCAGTTGCTGTGGGTGAATCTGATCATGGACACGCTGGGAGCGCTGGCCCTCGCCACAGAGCCACCCACTGATGAGCTCCTGGAGCAGAAGCCTGTGGGACGCAAGTGAGTGCAGGGGGGGGGTGTGGGTGCCAAGGAGGGAGGAGGGGGCGGGGGGGTGGGGTGCAAGAGGGGGTGTGTGAGAGTCGAAAGAGTGGTGGGAGTGGGGAAATAAGCGGGTGAGGGGAGAGGGAGGAGTGGGGTGAATGAGGTATTGTGTGGACAAAACTTTTGAGTTAGTCTGCACCTGAATCTCACAGCACGTGCCCAACCTTCACACCCTCCCTCCCTCCCTCGCTCCCTCACTCGCATCCGTACTCTTCCCTCGCTGTTTTTCTACTTTCACTGCTCTGCTGCTCGTTTTTTTTTTTTTTTTTTTTTTTTTCCCTCGCACCTCTCTAGTCTGGTGCAAATTCCTTCACTTCTGTGCATGCGGGTCCTGTAACCCTGTCATGCAGGTCTTGTCGCTTGCGCTTTGTCCGTGCTCACCCATGCTCACCCGTCCACACCCATGCTCACCCATGCCAGGGCGCCTCTCATCACCAACATCATGTGGCGCAACATCTTCATCCAGGTGCTCCTTGCACGCGCTCACACACCCCCACACATACGCACTCACCCACCTCCACACACACACACGCACACGCTCACGCACATGCACACGCACACGCACCCTCGCATGCGTGCTGGCTTTACAGCGTCTTGTGTTCTCTAGCCTGATGCTGCTTTTCTGCCTGCTGCTGTGATGGGCTGAGTTAACTCGTGATGGTACCTTGCTGTCTGATCAGATCCACTCTTGCCACTATCCCATTGCCATTTATGTCAATGTTTCTCCACTAGCCTTCCCCATACCCTCATCGTTTTCCCATCAGTGCGATCTCCCTACCCCCCCCCTCCCGCACCCCTACATCCCTCCCTCCCATCCTCCTTGTTGGTTGTTTCCTTTGCTTTGTGGTTGATGCAGTCTGTGTACCAAGTGGTAGTGCTGATGACGCTCAACTACGAGGGCAACAAGCTTCTCAATATTGAGAACGACCCGGACGCAACCATTGTGCGCAACACCATGATCTTCAACTCCTTCGTCTTCTGCCAGGTGCGTGCGCTCGCGCATTAGGTGCCGCTTGCACAGCACAGCACAGCACAGCACAGCACAGCACAGCACAGCACAGCACAGCACAGCACAGCACAGCACAGCACAGCACAGCACAGCACAGCACAGCACAGCACAGCACAGCACAGCACAGCACAGCACAGCACAGCACTGCACAGCACAGCACAGCACAGCACAGCACAGCACAGCACTGCACAGCACAGCACAGCACAGCACAGCACAGCACAGCACAGCACAGCACAGCACAGCACAGCACAGCACAGCACAGCACAGCACAGCACAGCACAGCACAGCACAGCACAGCACAGCACAGCACTGCACAGCACAGCACAGCACAGCACAGCACTGCACAGCACAGCACAGCACAGCACAGCACAGCACAGCACAGCACAGCACTGCACTGCACTGCACAGCACAGCACAGCACAGCACAGCACAGCACAGCACAGCACAGCACAGCACAGCACAGCACAGCACAGCACAGCACAGCACAGCACAGCACAGCACAGCACAACACAGCACAGCACAGCACAGCACAGCACAGCATGTGGAGAGCAGCTGTACAGGCAGAGTTCACGTGCATCGCAGTCATAAAGCACTGCCCTGTCTCAGATGTGAAAGGGCATGCCTTTCGAGATTCAGCGGTGGTTCAAGCCCAAGAGCATCCACGTGTGCTCTGGCTCTCTCGGTCTCTGAGATCATTCAAGTTTCCGTTTTTTTCCACAACTTCCCTTCACCACTTCCGTAGGCTGCCTTTAACGCTACCTACGTCACACACAGCAGGCCCCGTGCAGTCACGTGCATCTCTGTCCTCTCTGCTGTCATGTATCCATCTCGCTGGATTCTCCACCCGATTCCCCCTACCATCACCCTCCCTCCCCTCGATTCTCCACTTGATTCGTCCCCCCCTTGTTTGTACCTCTTCATTTGCACCTGTGCTTGGTTGGAGTGTGTCCATCATCCTTCCCCACGTTACCTTACTCCAGTGGACAGGTCTGTCTGGTTCCTGTGCCCCCCACCATTGCCCGTGCTGTGCGCTGCTTTGTCCTGCTGCTTAAGGCATCGTGTTTGCGTCCTGTTCCCCCCCCCTCCTCCTCCCCCGCATGTTTGTGCGTCTGTGTGCGCGCGCATGTGTATGTGCACCTGTATGACTGTGTGTGCGAGTGAGAGCAGCTGTTCAATGAGGTGAATGCGCGCAAGCCAGACAAGCTCAACATCTTTGAAGGGCTACACAAGAACCCGCTCTTCATCCTCGTGCTCGTCGTCAGCTTAGGCTTCCAAGTGAGCCACCCAAGTGCTTCTTTCCCACACTGCTGCTGTGCCCACACGAGCACAGCACAGCAGCAGTCCGTGCTCCATGCAGGTTCACGAGCGTGTGGAGAGTCATGCACCTACTCATCCATGCTTGCATGCAGCCGTGTTTTGCTAGTGCCGTTGCTGTACCATTGGCTTTTCCTGCACATTGTAACTTGCAATATTTTCCTACCGACCTCCTCCCTTCCCTACCTCCCTCCCCTCCCTCAATATCCTACCAACCATTAATCCTTTTTATCTGTACCTCTATCCCTCCGCCCCTCCTCCGCTCCACACCCTCCCCCCCGTTCCCCCTTCCTTTTCCCCCCCTTCCACCACCCCCTGCTCTTCAACCCCGTTGCCCCTGGGCAGATCATCATTGTGGAGTTCTTGCACAACTTTGCCAAGACCACCTCACTCACCGTCACCCAGTGGTTCATCTGTGTTGGCATCGGCTTTGTCAGGTGACCTGCCTCTCCTCTTGTCTCTCTCCCTCTCTCTCTCTCTCTCTCTCTCTCTCTCTCTCTCTCTCTCTCTCTCTCTCTCTCTCTCTCGCACGCACGCACGCACGCACGCACACTCTCACTCACTCACTCACTCACTCACTCACTCACTCACTCTCACTCACTCTCACTCACTCTCACTCACTCACTCTCACACACACACACACACACACACACTCACTCACTCACTCACTCTCACACACACACACACTCACTCACTCCCTCCCTCCCTCTGTATCACCACCAAACATTCCTTTCAGCTTCCTCACAAAACCGCCCAGTCCCTCCTGCTCTCATGTCATCCTCACCACACCACACCAAACTCCTCCTCACCTCTTTCCACTCCACCACCACCTACCTCACCCCACCATCCTGCAGTTGGCCGCTGGCGTTGATTGGCAAGTTCATCCCGGTGGCCAAGACGCCCATGCTGGACTTCATGCAGCACATCAAGCCACCGCGCTGGATGCGTCTGCGTCGCAAGAAGTCCCGTGCCAGCACCAGCGCCAGCACCAGCCGTCAGGGCTCCATGGCTCGCTCTGGTTCCGCTGCCGGGGCTTCGGGGGCCCCCGCTGCTGCTGTGGAGGAGGATGGCGGTAGGTGGTGGGGACAGGAGGGCAGGGGATGGGCGTTGCTTGTGTTTGGGCATTGTTGGGGAGGCGGGTGTGTGTGCTGTCGGGGCTTCGGTTGAGACTGTGTTGCTTGCACGGGTCTGTTTTCGTCTTCTCCTCCCCGCCCCACCCACCCTGCTCGTCCCCCCCTCCTCCTCAGCCTTTGCTCCTTCTGTCCAACCCCTGGTTCTGTTCTTGTTCCCTCATTTCTTGGCCTTTGTGTGTTTTTCTCCTCCCTGGGTCACAGCTTATGAGGAGGCCTCGAGTACCAAGGCTCTGGTTTCGGGCAGGGGATCGGAGAACGGTGCAGGAGATGCCTTGAACTCTGCCGATGTTGAAAATAAATAAAGGGGAATGGAGATGCCTATGAGTAGAAAGGACAGTCTGCTTTGAGGCAGAAGCAGCAAGCCCGGGGCCTCTACTCCTGAAATTTGCCCATGAATCGGCCTTTTCCCTTGTCCATGCCATACTCTCCAAGCGGCTTGTGGATTGAGGCTGTCTGTGATGGATCTTGTGAGTGTTTGGTGTGAGGTCTTACGGTATGTTGAGAGAAACATGGGAAGGGGATTTGGTTCGGTGGTGGTTTATAAGCAAATGCAACTGATTGCAGGGCTGACCTGGCTTAGATGTGCAGCAGCATGCTGTAGGAGGGACCTTATGGCCGGTCTGCCTTCGGCCTTTTGCTCGAGACACAAACAGCCATGCATTTGCCACCAAGTTGTCTACCTTGTATGGTGCTTGATGCGCAGCTTGGGAACATACATTCTAACTTTAGCTCAGTTTCTGTCATGTGATATTCAGTGGATTTTTCATAAATGTACATTTCTCTGCTTCACATTTGAGGCTACCGTAAGGCCCCGGATAGAAGCGCAGGCCTCGGATAAGCGCCGGCGGTTGTAAAAGGGTGATGGCGCTTATATCCGGTTCCTCGATTATAAGCGCACCCCTGGAGGCTTACGGATTATAAGCGCACCCCTGTATTATTACACATTATAAGTGCTTCCCTTTTTTAATTCGACTATTATTATCCTATCTTTTACGAGCTATTTTCACTACAACATAATATTTTTCCAATTCTACTACTAAATCCTACTGAAAGTTTACCGCAACATTCACAGATCTTCTCTAATTTCTATTCTTCCTAGCATCCTATGCATCACCATCAACAGTGGCGGAGCCATCTTTGTCGGTCTCCCCGTCCGACTCTGGCTCCTCTACGTTGTTGCAGCAGAATCCATCTGCTGCAATCTCGTCGTCAAGTTCTACTTCACCCTTGACGGCGTCCCGCCGGTGCTGCATGCAGAGATTGTCCTGGGAGCAGGGCTGATTTTATCAGGGTAATTACCCTGATTTCAGGGTGATTTCAGGCTTTCCACTTCGTGGAGACTGAAATTTCAGAGTTATTGAATTTCCAGCCCTGATCCAATCAGAGTAATAGTTTAGCTATCCCTGATTTTGAGTACAGTGTAATAGACTAGGCTGTTAGTGGACCCTGACTTAACAGAGTATCGACTGTGTGGACCCTGACTTATCGAGAGGAAGTTTCTCGGAAGTTTCCTTCCGATGACCCCGCCTTGGATTGATCGCAGTGATCCCCCCACATGTGCGTAATCCCCCCCCTTCCCGCTTTATCGAGACGAAGTTTCTTTGAAACTTCGTTCTGATACACCTACCATCGAGATCGCGTGAATCTGCAATGTCAGATATACTTTGCTGGGATTGGTCGAAATAGGCTCTGACAGCAGAAATCTGTGACTCAAACAGGTGTGACTCGTCCGTTCGATCGGTACACTCGCTCCAGAAGGAACGCCTCTGAGGGTGACTAACTACAGTCGCAGCGTGTCTGATGCATGCCAGCTGAAGAGATCCAATTGGGCATGGTAATAAGACAGGGAAACGTTACACTCGCACACCAGATAGGTCAATCACACCCGCCCTGCACAAATCAGTCGAGTGTACAGCCAGCAGGAAACACAGCGCGCATACTTTATGGAGAGTGGGGATATTTTCCCCGGTAACAAAGCGCGCGTTACTACTCTGATGTTCAGTTCTCGACCCTGAACAATCAGTGTTAACTACTTTACAACCCTGAGCAATCAGGGTACTGCTTTTCTGGAAAATGTGCACCCATAATAGAGGGGGAAAATTTTCCCCGGAATCAGGGAGGCTTAAAATGAAACGTCAGCCCTGCCTGGGACCCATCCAGGGCGTTGTCAGAATCTCAGTCACTAGACCACTGGAATAAAAGGGCTTGTTAAGCAGCGGGTCAGTGCGCCCATAACCCCCCAGGACAACGAGCCTGTAACCCTTCCCTATGATCAATCGGGGATCACCAGTGGACCTCTGACACCCCCCCGCACTGGGATGCCCTGTCAAGATAGGAGCACAAGTGGTAGTTAAGTTTAGGTAGGGCCTAGGCTTAGTAGCCTAGGCCAAGGGGAAGTCGAGAAAGTTGTGCCAAGGAGAAAGTCGAGAATGGGAATGACGTTCACTATAGCACTAGGGTACATATAGCAAACAGAGCATGCAAAGAAGGTGCACCACCAACAGTTTATAATAACTACACTAAACTACAGCTACAGGCAGTTACATATATATTCTAACACTCCCCCATAACTGCCTGCAGCAGGAGTTTGTGCAGAACACAACCTGCAGGGGTACACCAGCAACAGCAACAGCAGGCACGGTAACAGAGCAGGTACAGCAGCAAAGGGACAGGCGACAGCAAGACATTCCTGCCACCCCCTTACTCTCTTCCCCCCCCGACCACAGGAGGGGCAGCAGGGAGAGTGAGGAGGCGGGCTGGCTCTGGCTGGTCACCCCCTCCATCTCCTCACCCTCCCCCTCCCCCTCCCCCCCACACTGCTGCAGGAGCAGTAGAGGGGGGAAGAGAGGAGAGGTGGAGGGACGGCTGCTGGTTGGTCTCACACCCGCCACCCCAGTGCCACTCCCCCGGCTCCCCCACACCCTCACACCCTCCCCCCCAGCGGCAGCTGCAGCAGTGGGAACGAAAGGAGGAGGAGGGGAAGGGAAGCACACCACCCATCACCCCCACACCCGCCACCCCCATACCCTCCCCCCCACGGCTGCAGGGAGACGAAGGAGGAGGGGGTGGGCGGGGAGAAAGCCGCAGAGCGGCTACAGAGGGTCGGCGCGGGTAGGTCAGGGGCGGCTGCAGCGAGTGCAGGCGCGGGGTGAGGCAGAGGCGGCTGCACCGAGTGCAGGAGCGGGGGCGGCTGCTCCAAGGGCAGGCGCTGGGTGGTGCAGGGGCGGCTGCAGCGAGTGCAGGCGCGGGTGAGGCAGGGGCACCGCCGCGGGCGCCAGGGGCGGGTCCGCGGCGGCTCAGGGCACCGTCGCGCACCACGGGGCACGCGACGGGCAGTTTAGGGCACCGTCGCGTGCCACGGGGCGCACGACGGGCAGGGCACCGTCGCGTGCCACGGGGCGCGCGACGGGCAGGGCACCGTCGCGTGCCACGGGGCGCGCGACGGGCAGAAAATATGTCACGCGCCACCCGGGCGCGGGACAGGACGAAAATCGCCACGCGCCCGAGGCGCGCGACCGGAAAAACAGCAGCGGAAGCGTGAGGCGGGCCCACAGGCCTGGACTTAACAGGCTCTGATTCCATGTTGAGATAGGAGCACAAGTGGTAGTTAAGTTTAGGTAGGGCCTAGGCTTAGTAGCCTAGGCCAAGGGGAAGTCGAGAAAGTTGTGCCGAGAATGGGAATGATGTTCACTATAGCACTAGGGTACATATAGCAAACAGAGCATGCAAAGAAGGTGCACCACCAACAGTTTATAATAACTACACTAAACTACAGCTACAGGCAGTTACATATATATTCTAACATGCCCGAAGTGCACATACTGGGATTCGAACCCGAGACCTTCGCTCTGATAACATGTCAGAATCCCAGTCACTAGACCACTGGGATAAAAGGGCTTGTTAAGTAGCGGGTCAGTGCGCCCATAACCCCCCAGGACAACGAGCCTGTAACCCTTCCCTATGATCAATCGGGGATCACCAGTGGACCTCTGACAGGCGTTGCTGATGCCACGTGTGAGAAACGAGCGCTGAATCAACTCCTTGGGCACGGCCTTCCAGGCCTTGGAGATCCACTTGAGCGTCAGCTCTGGAGGTGGCTTGCGGATGTTGCCTGCCACACATGGAAACACTACAGCAATCAGAACAGGGTGGAAACAGTCTAAGCAGACACATCGTACACGTTGAGATTGAGCTCACCTCTTTCGGTCAGGCAGTCGACCCCCTCGCTCTCGAACCACTCCTGGTACAGTTGGCGGACTGCTGCTTTGAATGAGCGGTTCACCGCGACGTCAAGAGGCTGGATCTCAGAGGTGCAGCCAGCTGGTATGACGGTGGGGACGATGTTCAGCTCTCCGAATTTCGCCTTCACAGCATCAGTGAGGTGCCCGCGGTAGGAGTCAAGAACCAACATCACTTTCCTGCCGCGTACTCCGAACCTGGGGTTGACATACGGGTTCACCGTCCCGTCGAGCCACGCGAGGACGCCGTCAGCGTCCATCCAACCTTTGGGATGTACGGCGACCACAACATCTGCACATCCGAACAAGGCGCACGGACAGATTAGCATCAGACATAAAAAAAAAAAAAAAAAATCACATGTAAATGACACCGTCACTGCACAAGCTGCTCGGCTTACCGGAGGGGAAATTCCCCTTAGGAATTGTCTTGCGCTTAAAGAAGACCCAAGGCTTGAGCTTCTCGCCGCTGGCGGTGCATGCGAGCATCACCGTCACGCGTTCTTTTTGATAGCCGCCGCTGCGGATGGGCACGGAGCGGATCCCCACCTCCTCGACCGTGCGTTCAGCTGGCATCTCGAGCCAGAGTGGCGTTTGATCGGCATTAATAATCCAGCGGTTGTCGATGCCGTACTGACGGCGGGAGTGTCGCACGAACTTCCAGAAGTTCTGCACCTGTGTCTCACACTCTGCAAGGGAAGGGTGGGAGAGACAAACAAAAGAAGTAAATTAGAATTTCGAAGGTCGTAAGCAGCCATAAACGAGAGCGACAGCACAAACACCGTCTCACCAGACGACT